GGAGCGGCACGGGCCGCGCGGCCGCGAGCGACGGCGGCGGGATGCTCGGCGCGTCGGGCGGCGCGTGGTGCTCGGGCGGCGGCGGCGGCGTGATGACGGCGGACGCGAGCGGCGCCGGCGCGCGGGCCGGCGACGCGCCGGCCGGCGGGTCGGCCGGCGGCGGCTTGGCGGGCGCCCGCGGCGGCGCCGCGGCGTCCAGCGCCGCGGCGACCACGGCGTCCAGCGCCGCGACGACCGCGGCGTCCGGCGCCGGCGGCGCCGCGTCCGGCGGCGCCGCGGCGTCCGGCGGCGGGCCGTCGGCTCGCGCGCGCGCGAGGGGCTCCCGCGGCGGGTGCTCCGGCGCCGCCTCGTGGTCGTGGTCGTGGTCGTGGTCCGGCGCGCCGCCGCCGGCGCCGCCGTCGCACCTCCTCGCCGGCGCGGCGGCGATGGGCGCCCAGCGGTGCGACCCGCACGGCGGCGGCGCGTCGTCGAACTCGCCCAGGGCGCAGTCCAGGAGCGTGTGCGCCAGGGGCAGCTCGTCGTCCCCGAAGGCCGCGGGCCAGAGCAGGCCGCACTCCGACGCGACGACGTCGTCCGCGCCGAACAAGTGCGCGTGGTCGCCGTGGCGCACGAGCGGGAAGCCCGCCTGCGCGAACGCGCCCGGCACGTTGGGGTCGAAGACGGGCGCGTCCTCGCAGCCGCAGGACGCCAGCAGCTTGTCGCAGAACTCGTCGCTGAAGACGCCGTCGAGCGACCCGTCGAGCGGGTCGAAGCGGCAGTCCAGCGTGCCGTCGGGGAGCACGAAGTCGACGTGGGGCTTGGAGTCGCCGGGCCGCAGGTGGTTCACGGGCACGGCGCCGTGGGCGGCGATGTGGGCCCGGTGGCGGCAGCCCGGGTGGAGCGCGTCGTGCGCGTTGCTGGACGCGGCGACGCGCTTCCGCTTCCGCGTCGCGCGCGCGCCGCCCGACGGCGCGCCGTCGTCGCTCGCGAGGAGCGACGCCAGCGTCGCCAGGAGCGTGCCGTGGGCCTCCCGGTCGACGCGCGCGTGGGGGCCGGGCTTGCCGGACCGCTCGCTCTCCCACTGCGTCGCCGCGCGGAGCGTCGCGAGCCGCTCCTTCTCCGTGACCGTCGAGAACTCGACGCCGAGCCAGTGGCTCATGGCCGCCGACACGGCGCTGTAGCCCTTGCACCCGAGCCGCGGCCGGATGGACCGCCCCGCCGACCGCAGCGCGTCGCGGAGCGCCTCGAGGGCCGTCTCCTTCCTGATCTGCACCTCGACCTTGAGTCTAGGCATGGTCCTTCCGGTTCGAGCCGAAGCAGAGCCGGTTGGAAAAGGGCGTGATGCGCGTGCCGAACTGGAGCGCGCGCTTCACGAGCGTCGCGACGCGCGGCGGCCCGAGGTCCGCCGCGACGTTCCGCCGTTCCGGCGACGCGGCGGCGGCGCCCGGCGCGCGGGGGTCGGTTGGCGGCCTGGGGACGCGCGGGGCCGGGCGCGGGCGCCTGGGGCGAGCGGTGGTTTGCGCGCGCGCGCAGAGGCAACACGACAAGAGGTAGGTCGCCGGGCAGCTCGAGGTCGCAGGCCGAGTCGGCTGCTTCGAGCTGCAATATCCACTTCAACGACGGCCTCGCGGCGCGCAGGGACAGCGTGCGGACCCACTGCCGACCCGCTACGGGGCGCGCTCGCGGGAGCATGGATGGCGGGAAACGTCCCACCCCCACCCAGGGGACAGCTACCAGCCCGTCCCGATCGTCTCTGGCGCGGGGACCCCCGGCAAGCCATGGAGACCCGAAGCTGGGTCCGACAAGAGACGAGCTCTCCGTCTCGATCCGCGGCGCCGCCTGCGACCCGAGCCAAGCCCCGCGGCCGCCGGCGACGCGCGCGCGGCCAACGACTTCCTCGCGACGGTCTCCGGCGGCGCGGCGAGCTCGGCGCCCGACGCCATGTCCGACGCCAACAACGCGCCGTCCCCCCCTGCGTCCGTCGCGAGCACGCTCCCCGGCCCCCTGTCGCCGGCGGGCGTCGCGGCGGAGGTCGACGCGGCCTTCGCGAGCGACGCTGAACTTCGCCTCCTCGTGCGCCAGCGGCGCGTGACGTTCAAGGCCGTGCGCGCGCGCGTCGCGGCGCGGCTCGGCGTCGACGAGGCGCTGCTCAAGGAGAAGGCCCTCAAGGCCGCGCTGCGCGACGCCGCGGTGCGCGCGGAGACGGCGACGCGCGCGGAGCTCCAGGCGCAGCCGCGGAAGCGGCGCAAGCGCGAGGTCGCCGCCGCCGCGCCGGCGCCCGCGGCCGCGGCGCCGGCGCCCGCGGCCGCGGCGCCGCCGCCCGTCGCCGCCGCGCAGACCGAGGCCCTCGAGCACGACGACGAGTGCTTCCACTGCGGCCAGGCCGCGCTCGCGGACATGACGCTGCTCAACTGCGACCTCTGCACGCGGTCCTACCACTTCGCGTGCGCGGACCTCGCCGAAGAACCGACGGGCGTCTTCGCCTGCCCGGCCTGCGCGCCCGAGGGCCTCTGCCACGTCACGGGCGAGGCGCCCGCGCCGCACCGGTGCGGCCACTGCGGCCGCCGCTTCGCGGACGCGGCGATCGCCGACGCCGGCGGCGCGTTCCCCGACGGGGAGCTCTGGCGCTGCTTCGTCTGCGAGGACACGGCGGGCCTCGGCCGCGTCGTCGCGCCGGACCCGGAGGACGCCGCGCGGCTCCTCGTGACCTGGACGGGCCTCGGGGCCTGGCACGCGTCGTCGGCGTCGCGCGCGCGCGTCGCGCTCCACTCGGCGGCGAAGCTCCGCAACTTCGACCGGCGCGCGGACGCGCCGCGGCCCTTCGCGCGCGCGCCGGCGCCCGGCGAGGCCTGGGGCGCCGCCGACGCCGCGAAGCTCGACGCGCTCGCGGCCGCGGGCCTCGGGGGCCTCTCGCCGGAGCGCGTCGTCGCGGAGAAGCGCTGGAGCGTCGACGGCCGGTCCCCGTCGCGCCTCCTCCGCGTCAAGTGGGCGGGCCTCGACTACGACGACTGCACCTGGGAGCGCGAGGCCGACGTCGCGGCCGCCGCGCCGGAGGCCGTCGCCGCGTTCGACGGCCTGCGCGCCGGCCTCGACACGGCGGCCGTCGCCGCGTTCCGGCGGGGCGCGCTCCCGGGCGCGCGGGAGGCGCTCGAGGCGCAGCCGCCCTGGCTCTCGGGCGGCGACCTCCACGGCTACCAGCTCGAGGGCGTGAACTGGCTCCGGTCGACGTTCGCCGCGCGGCGCAACGTCATCCTGGCGGACGAGATGGGTTTAGGGAAGACGATCCAGGCCGCGGGGCTCCTCGCCGCCGTCGCCGTCGAGCGGCCCGCGGCCGCCTTCGCGCCCGCGCTCGTCGTCGCGCCCCTGTCGACGCTCGCGAACTGGCGTAGGGAGTTGGGCACCTGGTGCCCGTGGCTCTCCGTCGTCGTCCTCGCGGGCGCGGCCGCCGCGCGCGAGGAGCTCAAGGCGCGCGAGGGCCTCGGCGGCGGCGGCCCGCGGTTCCACGTCCTCGTGACGTCCTACGAGCACTGCTCGACGGAGCGCGCCGCGCTCCGGAGGCAGCCGTGGAGCTCCCTGATCGTCGACGAGGGCCACCGGCTCAAGGGCGGCGCGGCGGGCCGGTTGTTCCAGGAGCTCGCGCAGCTCGACGCGGAGCACCGCGTCCTCCTGACGGGCACGCCGCTCCAGAACAACCTCGACGAGCTCCACCACCTCCTCGACTTCCTGGATCCGGCGATGCTCGCGGCGACGGTCGCGGCCGTGACGCACAAGCGGGTCGCGGACGCGCCCGCGGGCCTCGCGTCCGTCGTCCTGGGCGCGCGCGAGCTCGAGCAGCGGCGGCGGGCCGACGACGACGAGTCCGCGGACGCGCGCCTCGCGCGGCTCACGGCCGCGCTGCGCGGCCGCATGCTCCGGCGGACCAAGGCCGACGTGCTCCGCGCGGCGCTGCCGGGCAAGCGCGAGCTCGTCGTCCGCGTCGAGCTCTCCGCGCCGCAGAAGGCGCTCTACCGGGCCGTGCTCACGAAGAACTACGACGCGCTCGCCGCCGAGGACCGGGGCCGCGGCGGCGGCGCGCCGCCGAATTTGCAGAACGTCGTCATCCAGCTGCGCAAGGTCTGCGACCACTGCGAGCTCATGTACGACCACTTCCCCGACGTCTGCGACGGTTTAGCCGCGCGCGCGGACCCGGCGCTGCCGCCGCGGCTCGGCGCGCTCCTCGCGGGCGGCGGCAAGCTCGCGCTTTTGGACGCGATGCTGGTCAAGCTGAAAGCCCGGGGCCACCGCGTGCTCGTCTTCAGCCAGATGACCAAGATGCTCGACGTGCTCGGCGAGTACTGCGCCCTCCGCCAGTTCGCCTACGAGCGCCTCGACGGCGACACGGCCGCGCGCGACCGCGCGCGGCGCATCGACCGCTTCAACGCCGCGGCGGCCGACCGCGCGTTCCTCTTCCTGTTGTCGACGCGCGCGGGCGGCCTCGGCGTGAACCTGGCGACGGCGAACACGGTGGTCATCTACGACGCCGACTGGAACCCGCACAACGACCTCCAGGCTTTGGCGCGCGCGCACCGCCTCGGCCAGACGGACCGCGTCCTCGTCTACCGCCTCGTCTGCCGCGCGACCGTCGAGGAGCGCATCCTCGAGGTCGCGAAGCGCAAGCTGCTCCTGGAGCACGTCGTCGTCGAGCGCGGCGGCGCCCGAGGCGGCCAGAGCCGCGACGACCTCAACGACGTGCTCCGCTACGGCGCCGAGGAGCTCTTCGCGGCGGGCGACGGCGACGGCGCGGGCGTCATCGCCTGGGACGCGGCCGCCGTCGACGCGCTCCTCGACCGCGCGGCGGACGACGGCGGCGGCGATGACGGCGACCGCGGCGGCGGCGGCGGCGGCGGCAAGCTCGCGGCGCTCATGGACTCGTTCAAGGTCGCGGAGATCGCCTTCGAGCCCGAGCCCCCCGCGCCGGCCGCGGCCCCGGCCGCGGCGCCCGCGGCCGCGCCCTTCGCCTGGGCCGAGCTCCTCCGCGACGGCCGCGACGCGGCGCTCGCGCGGACCTTCGCGGCGACGGGCCGGGGCAAGCGCGAGCGGCGCCCCGTCGCGGGCCTCCACGGCCCGGGCGGCGACGTCGACGACGGCGACGGCGGCGGCGGCGACGACGACGACGACGACGACGACGACGTCGACTTCGGCGCGCGCCGGCCCGCGCGGCCCCGGGACGAGCGGCTGCTGGCCAAGGTCGCGCGGAAGATGGAGCTCTTCGGGCTGCCCGGCGCGGCGCGCGGCGACTTCGAAACGGTCCACGCGCGCTTCGCCCTCGGGGCCCGCGACGCGCCCGACGCCGCGGCGACGCGGGGCCTCTGCCGCGCCGTCGCGCTCGAGTGCCGCGCGCGCGGCCGCGGCGGCGGCAACCTCCCCGTCGACGGCGACCGCGTCCTCGCGCGCGTCGCGCTCTTCGCCCTCGTCGAGCGCAAGCTCGCCGCGCTCGCGCGCGGCGGCGCCCGCGGCGTCGACTTCGCCGGCGTCGACGCCGCGCGGTGGCGCCACCGGCCCCGGGGCGACGCGGGCGGCGCCGCGTGGACGACGGCGCACGACGCGCGGCTCCTCGCGGCGCTCTGCTGCCACGGCCACGGCAAGTGGCTCGCCATGGCCGAGGACGACGCCTTCGACCTCTTCGGCGCCGCCGCGGCCGAGGTCGAGGCCGCGCGCGGCGGCCGCGGCGGCGGCGCCGCGGCGCCCGCGGCGCCCGCGGCGCGCGCGGACGTCGCCGACTTCGTGAAGCAGCGCTGCCGCCGCCTCGAGTGGGCCCTCGTCTCGGAGCGCGGCGCGCCGGCGGGGACGGCCCGCATCGACGAGCTCCTCCGGAGCCCCCAGGTCCGCCACTTCTGCGCCGAGGCGCGCGCCTAGGGGCCTTACGACAGCCGCGCGGCCGGCTGCGCTGGGGGGGAGGGAGGAGGGGCCTCCGCCCCCGTAACACACACAACACGCGCCGTTACTTACAATCAGTCTACGATGTAGCTTACGGGGTACTGGGCCTTGGTGCCCTTTAGGAGTGCCTCGGTGAATTCTTGGATGGGCTCGACACCGGGGCTGAAGAGCCCGGCTCGCACGGGATTTGTCCAAACGCGCGCCTCAGTCGAGTCCGTGTGTGAGTGTGTGAGTGTGTGAGTGTGTGAGTGTGTGAGTGTGTGAGTGTGTGAGTGTGTGAGTGTGTGAGTGTGTGAGTGTGTGAGTTGTGAGTGTCTGTGTCTGTTGCGCACGCGCGCGCGTTCATTTGAAGTTGAGCGCGTAGCGCTTGTTGATGGGCATGTCGTCGACCCCCGGCGGCAGGTCGTCGATGTCCTTGCGCTTGCGCTTGCGCTTCTTCGTCTGCTCGACCTCGTCGACGAGGCGCTCGTCGTCCATGCGGTAGACGTAGCTGAACTCGAGGTCGTCGGCGGCGATGAGGTCGTCGAGTTCGAGGTCCGGGTCGTCGAGGAGCGACTTGTCGCAGTACTCGACGCAGAGCCGCCCGAGCTCGTCGTCGTTGAAGACGGAGACGATCTTGAAGTACTCGCCCGTCGTGACGTCGTAGATGGTCCGGTGGAGCAACGCGCGGACGATGGTCGGGTCCGGGACCGAGTGCTCGTAGACCTCCTTGGACAGCACGATGGGCACGAACTCGTCGAAGTCGTCGGGCTTCGACCGGTCCTCGAACTCGTAGAGCACGCCGCCGTTGCCGCGCTTCGACGACCATGACCCACGACTCGACACTGGCCACACGCCCGTCGCCGTCTGCGCCGCCGTCCGCGAGTCGACGACGATCCACGCGGTGTCGCCGACGACGCGGTAGGCGACGGCGTGCTTGCAGGTGTTGCGGCCGCGGCCGACCTTCCCGTGCTTCTTCTTCATGGCCTCGTTCTCGGCCGCGGTGCCGAAGCGCAAATTCTTGAGCCGGCAGTCGTTGCCGTCGCCGTTGACGTGCATCACCACGGGCTTGTGCAACGGCGGCCGGCCGTCGAACGTGGTCTTCACGAGCACGTGGAGGTAATTCAAGGTGTTGATGTAGAGGTAGCGGCCTTTCTTGCTCGGTAGCCGCTCGCGCTTCGTCGCGAAGTCCCGCACGCGGCCCATGTCGGAGACCTCGACGGACGCCCAGGGCGCCGGCGCGCGCTTCCAGCGCTCGCCCTCGATGGGGGTCATCGCGCTGGCGTCGCGGAACTTGTAGTACTTGCCGTCGCTCGACTGGACGACCGTGTCGCGCGCGATCGCGTTGCGGACCTGGTCGCGCCTGACCTTGGTCGCGCGCGCGGCCTGTCTCTGCCCGTCCGCGCGCGTCCAGGACTGGCCGCCGATGGCCGTCCCGTTCTTCTTGACGCGCCGCCACTCGCACGCGGCGCCCTGCTTCTCGGCGCCCTTCTGGCTCGCGCTCTCCTCGCCGGCGCGCTTCGCGGCCTCGCGCGCGCGCCGGTTGTTCTCCGCCGTCGCGTCGAAGCCGTAGAGGACCTCGAGGTTGGAGAGGTCGTTGTTCAATCGGCAGCGGTCGAGGTGGTCGACCGCCGTGAGCTGGAACTTGGCCAGGCTGCAGGCGCCGAGGACGAAGGCGAAGGCCAGGAGCTGCGACCGCTTGAAGCTCTTGCGCCGGAGCTTCACGTAGTTGTAGCCGTCGTTGTTCGTCCCCGACATCAAGTGGCCGTCCGCGTCGGTGATGCGGCTATCCCGGTGCGCATAGCCGAGGAGGACGTCGCCCGGGCGGCGCCGCGCGGGGCGCGACTCGCGCAGCACCGATACCATCCTCCAACGACGGCTGCAACTTTTTGAATACAGCTGAAGATGCCGCAAGCGTGATGAGCTTCACGGCGCGTGCACGGCGCGACGTGAGCGCGCCTAACGTGAGTTTTACCGCGGCGCTCCACGTCTGCCCGGGCTGCGGCTAAAAAAAGGGGCGATGCTAGTAGTAGCCCGGGATCGTCGTCCCCTGGCGGCGGATCGCGTCCGCGACGCGCGGCGACGCCGGCAGGAAGTCCGCCGCGCGCGCGGCGGCGGGCCTACGCCGCGTCGGCGCCCGCTCGTCGCAGGGGCGTGTTCTCGTGCCAGACGCCGGAGATGCTCCGCTTGAGGCTCGCGAAGGACCTGCGGGTCGGGCGTCGCGGCGCGGCGACGGCGGGAGGCGCGGGCGCGGCACGCGTCGACGTAGATCAAGGGGCTGCCTGCGGGCGGGGGCGGCGCGGTCCGCGCGGTCCGCGCCCGGTGGCGGGGCGGGGGCGGCGCGCGCCCGCCGGCGGCGCGCGCCCGGCGGCGGCGCGCGCCCGCCGGCGGCGCGCGCGGCGGGGCCCCGGCGCCGGCACGCGCTGCAGTTCGGCGCGGGCAGCTTCTCGAGATGCCTGGGGCCGGCGGGCGTCGGCGGCGGCGGGCGCTCGTTCGCCGCGCCCGTGATGCAGCAATAGAGCCGCCGCGAGAAGATCGACGCCTCCTCCGGCAGGGCGAGGGCGTCGCCGTCCACGTCTTGAGCCATCGTGGCCGCCCTCCCAGTTTGGAAATCTTAAAAAATATCAATATGCAAACGTGGGGTCCATTGTTGGTTCGGTTATTTACCCAGCCCTCGACTTTTACCTTCGATTCAACGATCCGGTTTTTTATGAATCACCTCCCCAAGGCCGAAATATCTTGGAAATCATCTCTCGGTCATCTCGGGGCCAACGGTTGGGCCGCGAGCGCCGTGGCGTCGTAGGTCGCGCGCGTCTCCGGGTCGCAGAGGGTCTCGTAGGCGCCGTTGATCCTCGCCATGAGCTCCGTCGTCTCCCGCGTCGTCTCCGTGCGGTCCGGGTGGTGCCGGAGCGCGAGGGCCTTGTAGCGCCGCCGGAGGTGCGCGTCCGTCGCGTCGGGAGCGACGCCGAGGACGTCGTAGAGCGTCTCGGCCCGCGGCGGCGTCGGCGGCGGCGACGGCGCCTTCGGGAAGCGCGCGTCGAAGCCGCCGCAGCCGCGGCCCGCGCGCGGCGGCGGCTCGCGGCGGTTCTGCCGCTCGTCCCAGGCGCCGCCCGTCGCTCGCTCGAAGAAGGCGTCGTCGCCGTCGTCGTCGTCGTCGCCCGGCCCGCCGCGGCCCCGGGGCCCGCGGCCCGGCGCGGCCTCGGACGACGACGTCGGCCGCGCGGGCGCCGCCGCCGCGCCCGGCGCGCGCCGCCGCGCGGCCCCGGCCGCGGCGGCGGCGGCGCGGCGCTTCGGCGGCCCGGCGTCCGACGCGCGCCGGGGCCGCCGCGCGTCCGCGGCGCCTCCGGCGCCGTCGCCGCCCGCGGCGCCGGGCCCGCGGCGGCGCCGGTAGCCCACCGGCTTCGTCCCGCCGCCGCAGCCGGCCGCGTCGTGCATGAGCAGGTGCATGAGCGAGGGGAACTTGCGGCCGCAGGTCGCGCACGTGCGCGACGGCAGCGCCTGGGCGGCACACGCGTGCGAACGTCCCGACTTTTATCTCGCCCGCGGTCCGCGCGCGTCGGCCGACGCTCGGACGAGCGACCGTCGCGCGGCGCGCGCGCGACGCGCGCATGCGTCGCCCGGAACGCGCGCGCGCGGCGCACCCACGTCGAAGCGACGTCGCCCCTTCGCGGCGCCGGGCGGCGCGAAGCCCTCGGCGAAGGCGCCGGGCGCGGCGGCGGGCGCGGGCGGCGGCGGCGGCGGCGGCGGCGACCGCGGCGCCGCCGCCTCCTCCGGCGCGGGCGCGGGGCCGGCGTGGATGTCCGGCAGGCTGCCGCCGCGCGCGCGGCGCAGCTGCCGCTCGCGCTGCTCCTCGCGCTGCCGCCGCCGCCACGCGCGCTGCTCCGCGTTTCGCTGCCGCGCCTCCGCGCGGCGCACGTACTCGTCCTGGTCCGCGAAGGCCTTCTGCACCTGGCGCATGACCTCCTCGTGGCGCACCTGCTCCCGCGCCGCGCGGTTCCGCGCCCGGACGTCGTGGCTCGCCTTGCGCTTCGCCGCCTGGGACATGGCCTGCATGAGCTTGCGCATGGACAATACGTCCTCGAAGACCTCGGCGTCGTCGGGCACCTCGGGCACGACGCGGCTGCGCCGGCTCACGGGCACGTAGGGCGCCGGAGCCATCGTCGACGTCGGCGCGATCACGTCGACGCCGGAGCCATCGTGCCGGGCTGCTACGGCTACCCGCCCGTTTCGTCAACTATGGCCCGAACCACTTCAACCATGGGGCGAGTCCGCGACACGCGCGCGCGTAACATCCCGCACATTGAGCTCTAGGCTCGCTCGACCCCCGCGGCTCCGTCCCCGCCCGGGCGCGCGACTCGAGGCAGCTCGCCGGCGGCGGCGTCTCGGTCCGCTCCGGGGTCGGCCCCCTCGGAGCCGCACGTCCAGGGCGCGAGGGGCGCGGCGGCGACGGCCGCGCGCAGGACGGCCGCGTTCTGGCGCACCTGGGCCGCCAGGGGCGCGCAGTCCGCGACCCACGGGTCGCGGTCGGGGGAGACCTGGCGCAGGCGC